CCTCCCTCTTATCACTGCATACAGACAACCACGGACATCAATTCGACTGGGAAAATGTTCAAATACACAGACTTCAACCAAACAGTTTGATAAACTTAAGAATAAAATAGGTCAATTGTGACCAACCAATCAGAATTATTCAATTTTCATGCGTCTATTTGAATGAAATAAACCAACCAATCACAACAGAGCAGTTATCTAAACACAATGCCCTAGAGAATAGCCAATCAGATTTAGCTCATACAATCAGTGTGTCTTTCTTTCGACACACACACACTCTCCCAATAAACTCTACTTTCTGTCACCCACTGATTATGCTGTCCACATTAATACTGAAACGTTTTCCTGTGAAATGCCTAAAAATACAAAAATACTTCATTCTGAGGTAAAAATAATTCTCATCTTGATTTTACATGTATTCTGAGCTAATTTCAAGCTATTCAAGATGTAAAATTAAAATTAATGGTAGTAATAAAACTGATAACAATAATGGTAATATATAATTTCAAGCTGTTTTATGTGTGATAAAAAGCCGTTCTTCATCAACGTATGTGATTATTTATATCGAAAATACCTTGAGTAATAAATTTCACTGAGGATAAATAAGTTTTATGCGACAGACAGTGACGATTTAATCTAGGCATAATTTTATTCAAACAACACTTGGGTTCTCAAGCACATAAAATGCCTCGATGTCGTTCAAAGTCTTTGGTTTTTGTAAATCAATGACCCTAGAAGTGAGTTATAAAGTGTAAACACACACATTCGCTTACATACACACACGAGGTAAATGTCAATCATTAACAAACGGAGAATAAAACGGCAATAAAACGTATGCGTGTTGACTTGTTTGCACTGACACAGCCGCACACGTACACAAACACGCGCACGCGTACCCGTTTGTTCATGAATAAGAAAAAGGCGAAGCGAAGTATTCACCTTGGCAGTGGACTGACTTCAGTTTTGACTGTTAGATTGATTTTACATGCTACGTATTTATTATTATTTTTCCCTCGGGTTTCTAGTGGAACATAGGACTTCAACTGCACGTCTCCACTTGCCACTTCTGTCTTCCCTCTGCTGTACTTTTCACCTGCATCCATGTTAGTCCATACTCTTTCAACTCTTGTTCACATGATCTCCTCCATGTCACCCATGCACTGACGTCCCACTCGCCGCGTGCTTCCCTTTCGACCTGGTCCCACTCGAGCAATGGCCTGACGCGCGACGGCCTCCTGAGCCGCGAGTGTCCAATCCATCTCAAATTTCCCCTACATATTTGCTGGGCGACGATTGGTTTGTTCTTGTTTTGTTTGTTTGTTCCCATATTTTCTTGTTGGTGATTCTTTCTCGCCCGGCCATCTGATCTTCAATATAGAACCAGCGAAGACAGTTGTTGTTGATAAAGGTCTACAACAGGCTGCTGGAAATATTCTTTGTGACCCGACCGCCAAGTTTCTGATCCGTAAAGAAGAACTGACTGACTTGATGTTGTTCGTATTGAAAATCCAACCGAATTTTGTTGTTGATGCTGGCTGAGTGACGAAGATTTCCAGATTGGTTTCAGGTTGATGAGTGAATGTGTTTTTCGCCTTCCCGATTCTCGCTCAATGTGACATCCTCGTCCGTTCTGACTGTCTGTAGTTGAGACAATGCTCAATGCTAGATAAGTGAATGAATGCAGTAACCTCTTTCAAATCCCTCCCGTTGATGGTGATTGGCACTAAATATTGCTGTTTTTGTTGTTGTTGGTTGGTTGGATATTTTCATCACCTCCGTCTTGTCTATGTTCACCTGGAGTCATGTCTTCACTGGCTGCTTCTTCGACCAGTTTGTCGGTTTTCGTTTGCAAGTCTTCGGTTTTGTGTGACATCAAACATAAATCATCACCGCGCGAAATTCAGATCTTCTAGGTTCTTCACATCGGTCGGTCCAGGATATCCCTCCCTGTCTTCTCGTTTCCCATTGTCTGACGTATAATCCATTTCACCACAATTAGGAATATCATTCATTGGTGATAGATAATAAGCACCCTTGTCTGACTCCTCATGCTACTTATGATAAAAACTATCAGTAAATCCCATCAAACTTGAATGTGGCAATAAACAAGTTCAGCTACGAGTCTGTTTTCGGCGACGAATTCATTCTTCACCTCAGTCGTACAATCGCATTGATATATATAATTTTTTTGTGTGTGCGTAATCATGTGTGTACATTAGGATTGTCAAACAAAACTGAAAATTAGTTAGGCTTATTCTTTACGTCATCAAAATGTTGCAAAAAATGTGCTGAATAATCAAACTGTAACTAGGGGGGTGGGTGGTGATGGTGGAGAACGGTAAGTATAGACAAGGATTGCGCAATATGAAAGACACCCAGAAAAATAGGGCATTAACTAGAGAATTTCATCATAAGCTGATCTCAGTTAGAGAACCATTGGAAAACCCACCAGGGAGTACTGGACAGATGTTCGTATCGTCTGCCTAATTTCAGACTCTGCAACAATGCACACTTAACCTATAGGGTTCGAAACCAGCATTTTCTGGTTACAAGACAAGCTAGCTCGTAGACCATTAAGCCATTCCAGGAATTCTAAATTCTAATAATTTATGACAAAGCGTGATAACTAGACAATGTCTTCTTCGGTGATTTGCTGTTCTCATCTTCGACTTGCTGTACACTACTGGTCACGACTTTTCATTAGAACCCCAGGCAACTATCTACCTGAATAGGGCAAGTCGCTAGTGATCATCTCATGGATATTCAAGTATTGGTTTATAGGGATTTGGTTGATTGGTTACAGGATTTCATTATGAGATATGTTGTGAATTGACAGAAATTAGAATTCATGGATTGGCCCTTAGGATCGGGTCCCAGTGGCTTAATGGTATACGAGCTAGCTCGCCTTGTAACCAGATGGTCCTGGGTCCGAACCGTGCTGGTGGGTGCGTACTGATGAAGAGTCCCAAACTAGGCTGACTAAACAGCTGTCTGGCAGTACTCTCTGCAGGTTTTCAAATGGTTCTCTCTAACCAATGTCAGCTCATGATGTGAAATCCTCGAACCAATAAAACAAAATCTCTACAAAACCAATTACTTCAGGTAAATATTGTTTAGAACAAAGCTATTATTATAATTATTCTACACAGATATATATCACAGAAGTAAATAGTCATACATGAACAAGAAACACTTTTGTTAAACCCCCTCCCTTCTTTATCTTGACCATAGTAATATTGATTTATTTTATTTTACCACTTGAATTCATTCTAATTCCCTTTATACTTGCCTTCTTTTTATTGTTATTATGATTAGCCTCATCATCAAATCACCATTTTTAGACCTTGGTAACACATGATCAACTTATAAACTCTTGATACGCATTCATATATATTCAATAATCTTTTAGAAGTGTTTTGTAATTCATCCACTTCAAGTCTACCCCCGCCTTAGAGAAAAATTACATTATTCAAGTATTGGATTTTACAGGGAATTTTATTTGATTGATTGAAGGATTTCACCATGAGCTGAAATCAGTTTGGGGAACCTGGTTTTCGAATTGTTCCGGAACCCATGATGAAATTCTTCAAACAGTCACACAAAATCCCTACATAACCACCACCAATACTTCAAAAGTCAATCTGATGCCCACTAACAACTTGCCCTATTCAAATAGGTAGTTAGTGCGCCGGGGGCACAGTGGTGAGGACTCCCGCCGACCATTCACATGGTATAGGTGTCGATCCCCTACCGACGCAGACCTGATATCTATGGCTAGTGATCACACTTCATCATAATAATAATTTTTCCTTCATGTTGCCCAGTGGAACATAGCGAGGGCTTCAAGCTAGTGACATGAAGTTTCTGTAGCAGTGGTGTTTATTTTTATAGGATGGAGTTGTTAGCCAGCTTCATGGCCAACCTTTCCTCTTTATCAGGATTTTTCTGGCTTGGCGAGGTAAAGGAGTGCGTCTGTGTGGTCGGGGATCGAACTTCGGACCATATGCATGGTCGGCGAGCGTCCTAACCGCTATACCACCGACGCACACGCTTCGTCATAAATTATTAGAATTTAGAATTCATGGTTGGCTGGCTATCGGATTGGATCCTAGTGGCTTAGTGGTCTACGAACTAGCTCACCTTGTAACCAGTAGGTTCTGGCTTTCAACCCTATCCGTGGTTGCGTACTGCTGAGGAGTCCCATACTAGGCTGACGAAAAAGCTGGCTGTCCAGTTGTCCCCTGTTGGATTTTCCAATGGTTCTCTAACTGATGTCAGCTCATGATGAAAAATTATAATAATTATCTATATATTCTTATCATGTATATATATATTGGCCCCTGAGCAGTTTTCAGTGCCATTGAATGCCCTTTTCCCCGCGAAGTATAATTACCTCTGTACACCTGGTTGAAGAAATGAAGTCATTGAGTGGAGAAATATTCCTTCATACTGAATATAAAACTGTATGCTTCTCTAAAAGGATGCCTTTTAGAACGGACAAGCCTCTTTTTGGCTATAAAGTTATGATTTATATCCATATAATGACATGAACATATTCTGATTGGATAACTTTGTGATTGGTTTATTTATGGCTTAATTTTCTGAGGGTTTTTTTTTTAAATATGATACACCGTGTATTTTGCCTAATAAACGCTGTTTGTCATCACAGGTGAGTCTGACATTTGTCTTTTTCTTTCAGTAAGTGACATATTTTCAGGTGATCAGGTGCTCATATTCTCGTATCCTGGAGGTGCATTCTAGTCTGGTTTGACGAGAGCACATAGCTAAGTAACACTCTGACGTGACATATTTTAGCATCGGGATAGTTGTCTTCCTTGAGCATTCAGGGTTTAACTGTAAAGCTTGCATTGTCTTCCTGGACAGCATTTTCAGGGCAGATTTGAATTAAAAAAAGTGACGTTTAGAATTCTTTATGACTTTACTAACCGTCACGTTTCTGCTTTTAATTTTCATCTCTCCCTCTTCGTCTTTCGCTATAGTCAACAGTCACACTGCTAATTCATCAACTGTTGGACAGTCGATAGCAACAACAACAACAGCAACAAAACAGATGAGCGTACCAGCTGGTGATTCAATGAAATTAGACAATTCACATGGAAGAACAAATGAATCACTGTATACAAATTTTTGGCAACGTTTATTTAGAAGAACAAAAAGTAAGTTGACTAGATATGACTTCTAGAATGTAGATATTTTCCTCGCGTTGACCACCACCCCCCCCCACCTTCTGAGGCCACCTAGGATATGGTGGTCTTTGTGGAAGGTGAACCACCAATCGACTGACAGATTTTGTCTCAAACCAACACTGTAGGGGACTGGACAGCTGTTTTGTCCTCGCCTATTTTTTGGAGCCTTAAGCAGTACAAATGCACCAACCTACTCACAAGGGGTCGAAGCCTGGATCTCTTGGCTACAAGGCCAATCTGATTGACATTTTAGGCACTTAGGCTGAGATTCACCCACTAGTGAATTCTAACTACCAACTTCCACCGGTGTGATATGGCGCTATCTCTAACTAATGGCATCGATGAGCATCTCCCTCGCCTTGATATGATGGCTGATCTTATTGATCACCGCTTCTGATTATAGCTATAAGACATACATCCAATAGCCATCAATGATTAGGAGACTAATTTTAGCTGTGAACTGATGAGAAGTCCCAGGCTAGGACGAAACAACTGACAAGTACTTCCTAGCAAGCTGTAGGCAGTTGATGAGAAGCCAGAGAAATAAATTTCGGTGCCATAGTATTCTGCAAAAACCTGTTATACTTGCCCTATTTTTTAAAAGTTAACCACTGAAGATGGTGTTCAGAACAATACGGCTTAGAAAACAGGCTTAACTAATCTTCGGTAGAATTCAATAAAACGTCTTTTAGATGATAATACAAAAAGTACTGGAAAGATGATTCTTTTGTTCTTTGGTTTGGAACTCGATCTTCATTATGAAGCCAACCAGTGAAGACAACTGCTGATAAATGTATGCACTGACCTGTTGGATATCCTTTTCATAACATGCAGTGCAAGTTTATGACCCATATAGTAGAGCTGACTGAGTTGACATTCGTCTTGAAAACCCGAATCTCAGAAGTAATGGAGAAGATTTGTAGATCAGGTGGTGGATGGTTTTGAAGTAGTTGTGTTCTCTTCAGTGCGTACTTTATTTCAATGAAGTGAGCTTCTAGACTTCTCCACCGGTTTGTTAGTCATCTCTCCCAGAGACCTTCAACGTAATTGGTTTTTTGTGTGTTTTCACACCATTCTCGTTGAAGGTCTCCGGAAGAGATGACTAACAAACCCGTGGAGGAGTCTAGAAGCTCACTTCATCGAATTGAAGTATGCACTGAAGATGTTGCCTAATGGAGGGGCAACGAAAGCTTCAGAAATAAAGTATCCAGCTCAGAGAACACGACTACATCAAAAACCCGAATCTTGTTGTCTATGCTGAGGTGGAGTGTAGGTTTTATTTATCATTTCACACAATAGGTTTAAGATTTTCACACGTTGCGTGCAGGATCGATGTCCACAGGCAACTATTAGGACTTCTAAAATTCCTGTTGTGACGTCGAGGTCAAAATAAATTAATTGGTTATTCAAGTAGTGGTTTGTAGGGATTTGATTGGTTACAGGATTTCATCATGAGCTGACATTGGTTAGAGAACCAGTGGAAAACCAGCTGGGAGTACTGGACAGCTGTTTCGTCCCAGTTTGGGGCTCTTTATCATTACGCACCCACCGGATTCGAACTCAGGACCTTCTGGTTACAAGGCGAGTTGTCCAGTAGACGATTAAGCCACTGGGACCCGATCCAATGGCCAATCCATGAATTCTAACTTCTGCCAATTCACGACATAGCGCGACCCATAATCAATGTCTTCGGGAGTATTTGTCCTCACAATCCACCTGTAGGGTGCTGCTCAAAGTATGTCCACTGCATCTCCATCTCTTTTTGCATATATTCTTCAGCGAAGGAGACAGTTGTTCATGAAGGTCTGAAGTAACCTGTTGGAAACCCTTTTGATGACGAGGCAATATAAAATCACTGCTTCACTTGACAAAACTGTTCAAAACTCGAATCATGTTTCTTAACCCAAGAGTGGAAGATTTCTGTACTGGAAGAAGCAACATCCTTTAGATTTCTTCCAACAATGATCATCTATGCCTGTTGCAATTGGTTATTAACTCTGCACTCCACAGATAAACTTATTATGTCTAAATTACATCGATAAAATTAAACTACTTATTTTATAAACAGTAGTGTAAATTATATCCTGAAGAAATTTCGAAATGTTTTTTTTGTAGGCTTAGACTCTGATGCTATACTCACTCCTGAGACAGAGAAACCAAATTCACCGTCAAATAAATTTCATGTACAACCTTATAACTTGGAGAATAATGCATCTGAACAACACACCACCCCTGTGACGATAATCAGACCACCGACGATGACAAAAACAGCGGTAACACCAAACCTAACCCCACCTAATAGCACTACTAACACTACTACTACAACACCTAGACCCCTATCAATGGATTCAAGTGATCTCAAAGCTAATCCCTATCGATTTGAACGTAAACATGCTCCAGATTATGGACATCATCAATTTCAAATCACTTCTTTGTCGAATAGAAAACAACGACTTATACGAAGTCATCATAGTCAATATCAACAAAATAATAATCATAATAGTACTATTGGGAATCGGAATTCTTCCCCACCTGCTATCATCCATCCAATACGAGAAAATAGTGTCGATGGTTGTGGTGGTAGCGGTGGTTATTCATTCGGCAGGAGGAGAACTTTGTCAAAAATAGACATACGTAACTGCAATTTATCAAAACGTGAATCAAAAAGTCAAAATTATCTTCATTTAACAGATTCACCAAAAATGCGGTATATAAGAGTAATGCATGCATTTGCCAGTGTACCTGATTTGACAAAGAAACCAAGGAGAAGTGCGCTGAAAGGTAGTCGAAACAACAGGTAAGCGATGGAATTTCGCTGTTGTTTATTTATTTGTCTGTCTGTCTGTCTATCTTTGAATCTTTATTGCATACATCTTTTATTCATTATGTGAAACATGAAAAGCAAGTTTAGATCATGATACTGCTTGATACGCTTGAATTTATAAATGACAGGCTAGAAGGCAAGTGATATAGCACAGTGCTGTGTATACTACTAATTGATTAATTTATCTGAGTAGTTAGAGGCTAATCACCAGTAGTATTATAACGACAGAAGACAAGGCCCAGGCAACAGATAGTTTATTGAGGAAATCAACAGATATTTATGTATTTTATGTTCATTAAAATATTCGTTATTATTAGAACAGAAACAGCGTCTTCTGATTGGTTGTTTTCTAACCAATCTCTTTGTGGCAGTTTCTTTGAAGGTCAGACGTATATCTGCTAATCGTATCCGCCCACGCAAAGTCTGCTATGATTGGTTGTTGAGTTAGTCTTTGTTTTTGCTTTTTTTTTATCATGACCAAGATATGGGACGTAAACATTGATGTAAATTGCTGCCTACCGATTTTGGCTAGTAGATAGCTCTCACCAGACAGTATGTATGATCTAAACATAGGACATTTCGATTTGACACTAGTAACTAGTGTGACGTGTCTAGTCCATTCTTCGGTGCAGATTGAATTCTATCAGTCAGTCAGGGGTAGGCAATGTGGCCACCATTCTAGGTAGCTCCCTATCATGGTGCACATTGATTTGATGATATTAGATGGTTGGAGGCGATCTGTCACAAGGAGCCTTGCCTAACCTAGGTTTCGTGCTAGTTGGCACTCGTCAGCAAAGTGTACCTGCAATTTTGAAGGAACTCATGTCCCTCCTCAGATTGGGACTCGCGTCAACCAGTGCAGCAGTCAGAGACATTACCACTGACTTCCGTCTCCTCTATATTTGTCTAGAGTCCTCTCTTTGCTGCCTGATTGCTTCTTTAGCCAGTATTTTTTTTTATTTTCGCCTGCTTCAGCGTTATTTACAGCGTAACTGTCGTGGCGATGATTTTTCACCTTACTACGTAATTTGAAGAGAACACTAGATGGAACCACAACTATGTGGGAACCACATACTGAGAATCCCACATAGTGTATCAAACTTACTGTTTGAAATCGTTATTGTAACTACTATTCCCTTAGGTTTTCAGTGGAGTCATAGGAGCTTTAGAAGCACACCTCCATTCCATCCTGCTTTTTAAAGTCACCTCATAGCTGACTTCACGACTCCCCACAAGCTGTCATCTCCTCCAGCAAAAGTCTGTGCTTAATTCACCTGCATTTCCTACAACAAAAGGTTCTTGGTTGGTTCGTCACCTGCCAAAGTTTATTGTTGCTAATCCTAATCCTTTCTGATCGGCCGATCATCTAATCTTCAGTATGTAGCCAGTGCTAAAGTCTGCAGTAGGCTGTTCGGCATACTTTTGTTAACCCGTATGCCTAAAACCTCTGAAAGATACACAGAAACTGAACGCGGTCATTTCTTCTCATTTTTAGTCTGTTTTTCTGTTTTTTTCCCATTTCAGTGTAAATCGTTTAGTTAGTGAATGTGAACCGGTTGCAGCTTCACCAATCCCAATGAATTCAGACTCTTTCTCATTGACACCGCCAACACCAGTTGAAATCCATCATTTATTACATTTTCATAATAATCACAGTCAACATTCCACAGATATCTCAACTACTCGAAACAATATTAAACCTGTCATTAAAATGGATTCAATGAAATCTTCGAATGATTCTGATTGGTCAACTGGCAAATATGAATCAACCAATGAGAATGTCAAGTTAAATAACGATGTAAAAATTGCTTATAGTAAATATTCACCGGAACCCAAACGTACGCATGAAAGTAGTCGAAGACATTTTAACTTTACAAGTGATTTATACAATGAAGATAGTAATAATAATAATAATAATAATAGCAATAATAATAATGGATTTGTACAGACTATACACTATTTACAAGACCTAGACGAAGTCTCTGTTAGTCGTATGGAAGAATCGATCGATGAAGTCGAAGCATCCTACAACTATGATGGTGATGTCAATAAAATTGATTCTGAGGATGACGTGAAAGTGAAACAGGAGGTGACAACTGCAACAGCGGCAGCAGCAGACAGTTCTGATAGTGATCAAAATACTGAGGAGAAAACAATTGAACAACAAATACCAAGATTTCATTCTAAGGTAAGACTTTGTTTTCCGTATTCTCAAGCGTGTTTTTATTTTCGTAGGGATTTGATTTGTTTTAGATTTGAACACAGGATTGATGATGTCAGTTAGAGAATCATTGAAAACCAGTTGTTTCGTTCTATTTTGGGACTTGTCAGTGCCCACCCACCGCTAGGGTTCAAGCCCAGGACCTTCCGGTTGCAAGTCAAACTAGTGAACCACTCAGCCGTTGTGACCCGACTCAGTGGCCAGCTTGTGAATTCGAAGTTCCATCAGATATTATTATTTATTATTTCCTTTAATTCCTAGAGGAACATAAGGATTCAGCTGCACGTCTCCAGTGCTTTCGGTTCTCTGCTAAAGTTTTCACCTGGCTTTACTTCTGCTCACATGCTCTCATCTCCTCTCCACATGACCCCCTCCAATTCACCCTTGCACCGACGACTAACTCGCCGCTTCCCTTTCAGGTTCCACTTGAGGGTTTATCTAGTGATGTTACTTGATGGTTTCCTCTCGCCGACCATGCATATGGTCCGGGGTTCGATCCCCTGCCGATGCACATCCGATATCAATGGTCGGCCAGGAAAATTGGTCTGAAAATTCCATACTAGTACCAAAAATGCGGTGTTAAGTCAAGCTATAATCAAAAAAAAAGAAGAATATGACAAATCCACCACCTCCATTTCTTCCTGCATATTTGTTGCACAATCGGTTCATGCTGGGTTGGTTCGCTCTTTTCTAGCCGACTATCTGATCTTGAGTAGTATTGAGCGAAGACAGCCAGATGTCGATGAAGATGTGTAGTTCGTTTGAGGTACTCTTAATGACACACCAAGTCTATGGTCCGTATGTATATTAATTAGCACCGATTTCAAATTGGAGTTGAAAATCCGGATCTTATTTTCATTTTCATGCTGAGTGCTGTTGACATCCTCCACATAGACTTGAGGGTAATGAAAGCCCGCCTTGCTTACCAGATCATCGCTTTGGTATCCTTATCAGTTCCGTCTGTCTGTAGTTGAAACGATGCTTCCCAGTTAGGTAGGTACGTAGGTGAAGGAGGTTGCTTCTTTCAGATTTCTCCCATTTATACTGATTATTGTCTGCTTGTGTTGCTGTTGGCCAGGAATCTTCGTCATCACCTCTGTTTTCTCTATGTTCACCTGAAGTCGTAATATCTTCCTCTATGTGCGAAACAAAAACACGTATCATCGGCGAAATCCAGATCCTCCAAGTCTTTTGTGTCAGTCCATTTTATGCCTGTTCCCTCGTTGGTTGCCGTTGTCTGTCGCATTATCCAATCAATTGCAATCAGGAAGATCATTGGTGATAGTAGACAGCCTTGCCTCACTCCCGTCCTCACTTCGAAGGCTTCCGTAAGTTTCCCGTCGTGGATTATTTGGAATGCAGCATTGTCGTATAACTGTTGGATGAGATGTATAATTGTCGATGGGACCCCTCGGTAGTAGCGAAGTAGTTGCCAAATCACCTCTCGATCGACGCTGAGCTATCGAAGGCCTTTTCAAAGTCGATGAAGTTGAGATAGGGAGGTGGCTTCCATTCCAAGCCTTGCTCAATGATGATCCAAAGAGTGGTGATTTGATCAATACATGATTTGTTTCTCCTGAATCCAGCTTGTTCCGGTCGAAGTTTTTCATCCAGATCGGCGTGTTTGATTCTCTCCAGGATGATGCGGCTTAATAATTTGCTTGTGATAGACAGGAGCATAATTCCACGCCAGTTCTTGCATTGACTTAAGTCTGTTTTCTTTGGTAGTTTGAATAAGTATCCTTTCTTCCAATCCTCGGGTACTTTGACCTCTTTCCACACCTTCTCCAGTAGTGGTATCATCAAGTCCTCTGTTGTCTCTGAGTCAATTTTCAATGCTTCTGCTGGGATTCCATCTGGTCCTGGGCCCAGGCTTCAAACCCTTTTTAGTCGGTGAGTACTGCAGAAGCGGACTCCCAAACTAGGACGAAACAGCCAGCTGTCCAGTACTCCTTGCCGGTTTTCCAATGGTTCTTTAACTGATATCAAATTGTGATCAAACCTGTGACCAATCGAATCCCTGCAAACCAACATATTTTTAAAAAGTATAGCTAAAGCAATTTTGTTCTAAAATTTAAATAATCTAATTTCACGCCATCGTTGCGTTTTTTGTTTTTGTTTAAATAACCAGTTACTTCGACGTGATAGTATTGAACACTATCTTGGTGTTAACAAAGTGTCGTCTAATGCAGTCAATAAACACAATCCTCAATCATTAGACGAAAATAAACACACCCCGATCGATAAAATCAATAATAATAGTAGTAATAATCATGATTTAGTCAATAAATTAGACGCAGTACATGAAATGAATTTTGTTGGCAAAGAATCTGTACAACAGAGCATAGAAGAGGACAGAATCAACGACAGTGATAAAGAATCCGTTGTCAAAGAGAATGACACTGAGGTCGATGATCCTGATGAAGAATACGACGATAAAAGTAGTGTCAATTCAGTATCTGAATCCTTTCGAGATGATGATTATTCACCGAAACCTTTATTGACTGAAGTACTTTCTCCAGCATTATGCGCTGCTGGTTATGGTCCAGTTGGTCACCTGCTGACAAGATGGTTACCACAAAGAAATTTCTGTGAATTACTTATTGGAACTAATGAAAGTTTAGGTAGGTGATGGTCAATTTTCCCAATATTTTCATTTATAGAATTTTTAATGTTTTCATTATCTTTTACTAGTCACCCTCCAACCATTGCCCCGTTGATCGCTTCTAATTTGGATGCCACCTATCTGTCTGTCTGTTTTCGACACAGAACTGTACATCGGTGTGCGGCAGTTCAAGTCGCCACACTCCACTCCATGTAGCACACAAAGCAAGAGAAGAAAGTAGAAGAAATGCATAATAGAGACAGTAAACAGAGGTGTGAGACAAAGGAAGAGTAATAACGAAGAACAAAACAGTTTCATTGGAAATCATAAGTCACAAGGAGTGGATGCATCTGCGCCATTTATTGAGAACAATTTTGAGCCAAATCACTAATTGTTTCCAACCATTGGTTTTCACCGTCCCGAGGACCGCAACCAGGAAGCCAGTCTACACCTTCCTACGTGGCTTAAACTAACTGTTGTAGATTTCCTTGACTGGTGCCATGTTTTGGTTTGACCACCACTAGCTCTTTTTCAGCCTGACCCTATGTCAGCTAACATTGCCCACTGGAGAGGAAGGCGATGACTAGGCATGCATGCGTAACACATGTCCTAACCATCTCAGTCGATGTAATTTCATTGCCTCGATCATTGATTTCCCCTCCCACCCAGCTAGCACTCAACCAATACCTTACCTCAATATTGCTCACCTTGTTATATCACTTCACATGGGAGATAAGCCAAGCACAGACACCTATGATGAAAGACAACTAACCGGCCTTTTCATGTCTTCCACTCTCAATGTCCAGGTCTCACAGCCATAAAGGGGGACGGAATGGACAGCTGAGACCTACATTTGCCCTTTGGTCGATAGTCGGATATCTCGTCTACGACAGAGACGGCGTAAACCGGCATATGCGAAACTAGCCCTCTGTATCCGTAGTGAGATTTCGTCAGAGATCAACCCGTTGGCGCTGGCTGATGGTACTTCCCAAATAAGTGAAGTGGTCAACGTGCTCTACCACTTCACTACCTATTTCTAAGCAAGGAGTCGGTTTAGTCCAGTCCTGTAACATCACCCGAGGGATTACTTGGCATGTAACATCACTTCGACGTCTCCTTGGACTCCGTATATCAAATCCATCTGCATTTCTTTCTGCATACATGTTTAACAACGCACGGGTTCTTGTGTGATACATTACCTACCAGAACTCCTTATTACCTCTCCTTCACGGCTATTCATCTAATCTTCAGTACCGAACGAAATAGCCAGCTATTTGCAAAAGTCTTTAGTAGCCTTTGGGAAATGCTTCTGATGACGTAAAAGCCAAGTCTTTCAAGTACACGAAAGTACCGACTTGATAAGAGCGTTGAAAAATTCAGATCTTGTTCCCTCTTTTGAGTGACTGTTGTAATAACAAACGTACGTCTGAAATGTGAGGTTTTAAATGTATGACACCAGATTAGAAGAGGTTTTGTTAAATAGAGCAGGTCAAATGATTGTGATCTAAATAATTTCTCTTTTCAAAGGAAACTGCTTAAATTGAGAATTCAACCGATTAAATGAATACATGGAGCTTTAAAAAATCATTTAAATGATTATTTGATTGGTTAAGTGACTTTTAACGGGCTGATATCAGCTAACTGAAATCTACCAATCAGAGAATGTGTAAGTTACCTTGACTAGAATACTAGTGTGACGCCTACGCATTTGTAAGCAACCTAAATGTTTTCTAATTGGTAGATTTCAGTATTCTACCTTTAAGACTATGAATACTTTTTTATTCAGTGAGATTGTGCATCAGTCAGTCAGTTACCTAGTCACTGAATAGTATTGTAACGATAGAAAACAAGAGCTAGGTAACAGATCGTTTATCAAGAAAATCAACAGACATTTATAGATTATTATGTACATTATTATTAGCATAAGTGTTAGCAGAGAAGCAGTGTCTTCTGATTGGTTGTTTTCTTGCTTAAGGTTATTCTGTACTGCTTGTGACCACTTCTCAGAAAATTAAGCCATATATCTGCGAATCGTATTTGCACACGTTAAGTCTGTTTTGATTGGTTGGAGAGTTCATCAAGGTTAAGCTTTGTTACTGGTTTTTTTTCCATGACTCCGATCAAAGAGGCAAACATTGACGTAAATTTTTGCCTACAATTTCGGCTTGCAGACAGCTCTCACCACAGAATGTTTATTTTAAGAATGTCAAAGTCCAACGCTACAGCGAATGACAAAAGACAATACGTAAGTGAGTGAATTACAACAGTTATATTATAATAATTCTGAAGATAGGTGTCATTTATTTTTTCTTGTAGATACATCAGAAGACTCAAAATGGTGTCGAAGAAAAGAATTGCTGAAGGAATTAGCAAGAACTGTAAGTTTTCAGTAATGGTACGATTTCATTTATAACTTTTTATGAGTGCGTTAAATACATTTTTATATTAGATATTGGTTCGTTTATTAGATGTATCACACAGTCAGTGAAACAATATTATTGACTGGATGACAAAGTTTCGAACAAAATTCATTATTGTTCACAATCATACAAATTATGATCACACGACTTCGAGACTTGAGTTTTATAGTTTCTTTCTTTGTTCTCTCCTATTTGTTGTCGTAGGGGTAGTAGAATTAATTCTCCAGATGTCTGGGTTGACTGGTGTTGAATCATTCCTATTACACGTATTTGTAGTTGATTCGATAAACAAAGGTTCTGTTATCAATCTCTCCCTCTACTCACCCTGAGACATTAGATTTTAATACTGTCATCTTATGTCATCCTATTGTATGTTTGTGTGGTGTGTAATTGCAGATGGTGCTTGCTGTAGCTGCGCTATTCTGTAGATTTCTTATCTTATTCGGGTCACCTAATCTAGGTTTTGCTAGTCTGATAAGATTAGTGCGTCGGTGGTATAGCGGTTAGGACGCTCGCCGACCATGCACATAGTAGGGGGTTCGATCCCCGGCCATCAACGCACTCCTCTACCTCGCTGGTCCAGAAATGATGGTGGTAAAGAGGAAAGGGTGGGCATGAGGCTGGCTAGCAACCCCATCCTGTAAAATAAACACGGCTACAGAAACTTCAAGTCGCTACCTTGAAGCCCTCGCTATGTTCCACCGGGGAACGTGAAGGAAAAAAATAAAAAAGTCTGATTAGATAAGAAATCTAGAGAATAATTCGGCTGTAGCACTAGATGCAATTTTATTTATTTTTTTATTTTTGATTACAGCTTGATTCCACACTGTATTTTTGGTACAAGTGTGGAATTTTCAGCGTGGATATCATCGGTAGCACAAAATTCGCAGGCCGACCATAGATATCAGGTGTGCGTCGGCGTGGGCTCGAACCTCAGACCATGTGCATGGTCGGCGAGAGTCCTAACCGCTGTGCCACCGACGCACACACTCACAGCCATACAATAGTGTCGGATTAGGTGACAGTTTTAAAATCTAATGTCACAGGGTGAGTATGTGGTGAGAGCAGCCTGCTAGCCAATTGGTTAACATTAATCTACGTCAACGTCTAGGTCAATAATATTGGCCCTGAGAAAATATGCACAGGGCTGATTCAACAACCAATCACAGCAGACTTAACGTGGGCAAATATGATTCGCAGATAGATCGCTCCATTTTCCGAGGTTACCCGAAACAACCAATCAGAAGCCTGCGTTTGTCTACCTGAATAAGCTATAATAATATACAGGAAATGTATATAAATACGTGTTGATTTCCGTAATAAAACGATCTGTTGCTGGCCCTTGTCTTCTATTGTCATAAGTAGAGCGAGAGATTGATAACAGAACCTTTGTTTATCGAATCAACTACAAATACGTGTAATAGGAATGATTCAACACCAGTCAACCCAGACATCTGGAGAATTAATTCTACTACCCCTACGACAACAAATAGGAGAGAACAAAGAAAGAAACTATAAAACTCAAGTCTCGAAGTCGTGTGATTACAATTGATATGATTGTGAACAATAATGAATTTTGTTCGAAACTTTGTCATCCAGTCAATAATATTGTTTCACTGACTGTGTGATACATCTTATAAACAAACTAATATGGATTCGATACTACCACAGTGCCCAAGTTTCACACATATATTAACATTTTAATATTCGTCAGAGCAATAAAAACAGAGATTTACGGTACGAAAGGTACACATTTGATTTCAAAGTTTCTCTCTTCAACTGCAGATAATATTAACAAAATAAGAATGCATATTTTTAAAAAAATTCTACTCACAAGATATTCGTCATGCAGATTGTAATTTTAAGGGAGATAACTAAATGGATGAAATGTATGATGACAGTAATCAGTTACACATATAAAACCAGAAGAGAGTGGTTATTTGTCATCATAAATTTGAGAGAATATGCGAGAAGTTTAACAACAAAAATAGCAAACTAATGGACAATTGAAATACTCTACAGTTGTGAAGGGAGTATGACTTTCTGTCCTCATTCCCAGCAAATCCCTTTCTTTCCAGGCTTACTATTGATTAGGAAATTCGGTACATAATTGGAGGATTGAACCCCGAATCTTGAACTACCAACGCATCAAGAACTGACGTACTCACTCAGACCTTTTTTTCTCTTTCCTCTTTTTGTTTTATATTTGTCTAGTCGTCTATGTATACAGAAGATATGACACACGAGATGTTTATGTTACGGTTTTCTGAATTCGTTGAAGTACAAGAGTTGGAACCATGCGATCGAAGTGCTGATAAACCGTGGATTCGATTAACACCAAAAGATAAAGTGAGTTGACCATAATAATAATAATAACAATTAGGTAGGTGGTGACTTCGATAAATAATGCTGGAAGGATTTATTTCAAGACTGAATACCAACTTTTACACATCAGAGTCTTTATGTATCTCACAAAATCAGCCTTACTCATTGTAATCTGGTCACAAAATTAGATAAATACTTAATATCAAGTCATTTAGTCCCCTTGAATGGTTCAAAGAACTAGTATATATCTCGTCAAACAAATTTCCAACAGCTAGCCGTAGACTTTCATCAACAGATACAGCCTTCCACTCGATATTGATGATCACATAAAGAACCGGTCAACGTCCTACTTGTTACTCAAGAAACTTTGATGTGGTTGTATTTTCTGAGCTGGACACTTAATTTGCAAAGTTTTCATCACCCTTTCGTCATCTTTTGATTATTAAAAATGTGTCGACTACGTAACGTATCCAAATCTTGGGTTTGATCAAAAGAAACGAGTTGGGTAAAACTCATTCAACTAAATAAACAACGTCTTCAACGATATCAAATTCACAAGAGAAGAGGAATCCGAGAATCAAATCACATTTATGGACATCTTAGTCAAGCGAACAACCACAGGGGAATTAGAAACTCAAGTTTATAGAAAATCAACTCACAAAGACCAAATCCTCAGTTAAAACAGCAACAATCCAATAACACACAAAAGGAATTGCATACAAACACTATTCAAGAGGGCCAGTCAGGACTCAATGCAGCACTCCCACCTTAAGGAAAATTGAAGAAAAATGTATCTCATGGACGTCTTCCAAAAGAATGGATATCCACGGAATTTCATCAAAAAACATATACCCCCAAGCCAACCTACCAAAGCAAAAACCACCAAGGAAAGCACAAAGAAAATCGCCTTACCATATATAAAGGATATCTCAGAAATCACTGCAAACCTTTAAGAGTTGACGATGCACACAAACCAACAAAACCACTTCACTCAGCTGGGTCTGTGCCAACCAAAAGACTCAACAGCGAAAGAAGATAAAGCCAGCATCATCTACAAAATAAATTGTAACAACTGTGAAAAACACTACATTGGTCAAAGTGGACGTCCACTTCGTCTTCGTATTCATGATCATATACTAGCCGTCAAAAGACATGACATCCACACCCTCACATCACTGTATACAGACAACCACGGATATCAATTCAACTGGAACAACGGCCAGATGTTAGACAGAGGGAACACCAAGAATGTTAGAGAATTCTGATAAGCCTGGTATTCCAGTGAATCATTAATCAATAGACACATCGAGATAGACAAAATTTATCAACCGATAAGAAAGAAACTTCACACACAAAGGGTCAAAGTTCAAACCAAAGAAACAATCAATTCCAATACAAGTAACCTAGAGGGTGTGAAAACACACATAAACAACCAATCACGACTTTCAAGGTCACCAGGAGGGATGAATAATAAACTCATGGAGAAATTTTCAAGTATTGGTTTTTGTAGGGATTTTGTTTGATTGCATGGAGGATTTAATCCCGGTGGGTGCGTACTGCTGAGGAGTCCCAAACTAGGACGAAACGGCTGTCCAGTACTCCCAGGTTTTCCAGTGGTTCTCTAACTGATGTCAGCTCATGATTAAATCCTCCATGCAATCAAACAAAATCCCTACAAAAAAACCAATACTTGAAAATTCATCTGATGCTCACCAGTGACTGGCCCTATTCAGGCAGTTAACCTGGGGTTCTAGTGGGAAGCCGTGACCAGTAGGGTACAGCAGGTCGAAGATGAGGCAGTAACTCATCGAAGAAGACATTGCGAAGTGGTCGCGCTATGTCGTGAATTGTCTGGCAGAAGTTAGAATTCAAGGACCATTGGATCGGGTCCCAGTGGCTCAATGGTCTACGAGCTCGCCTTGTAACCAGAAGGTCCTGGGTTCGAATCCCGGTGGGTGCGTACTGCTGAGGAGTCCCAAACTAGGACGAAACGGCTGTCCAGTACTCCCAGGTTTTCCAGTGGTTCTCTAACTGATGTCAGCTCATGATTAAATCATGGAGAAATCTAAAAGCTCACTTCAATGAATTGAAGCATGCGCTGAAGATGTCACCTAGTAGGGTGATGAAAGCTTCGCAAATCAACTATTCAGCTAGGTCAGAGAACAAAACCACATCAAAATCATCCACCTGAGCTACAAATCTTCTCTATCATATCTACTCAAGAAATATTAGGAAGGCAGCAAATGAATTGTATATACACTGAGAGCATCAAGTAATATCACAGACCTGGTCATCGAGTGTAATCCGAATGGGAAGCGACAAAAGATGACGTAGGGAAAGTCATGTGGGGAGGACATAATGTAGATTTGGGAGCAGTCAAAGAATCACCTATGAGAAATTTTAAACAACCGAATGAGTGAATGAAGATATTCGACAGGAATCCGACAGGTGGTGAGCTTGTCGACCATTGAGCCACTGATACAGAATCCAATGGTTCATGAATTCTAACTTCTGCCAATTCTCAGTATACAAAGCACCATCGTCTTGGAATACTGCTGGCAAGTACCTGCTCTCATTTTGGACTTGTAGGACACGAATAGTCACGATATTTCACCAGAACTTCAGGCAAATTCATCTAATAACTTGTCACTAGTTAGCGTTAGATTAATTTTCAAGTGCGTCGAATTGCAGGGATTTTATTGATCTCAAGACTGGTAATGGATCAATAGATTCCTTCTCAGTGCCTGAATATTGAACGGGCTGTCATTATAACATGTAGGATCATGGTTTGATAGCTAGTGAGTAGAATTGTGTGTGAGTACCACTGAAAAGTCCCAAACTAAGACGAAACAACAGTTTAGTGCTTCCTAGTTATCAGCAGCTCTCTAATTGGCGTCAATCCATGACCTAAACTGGAACAGGCTTTCTTTTGAACAAAGACGATCAATCCTTTAAACATGTGAGTGATGAATATTTGCCCTATGGAAAGTATTTTTGAATCACGAAATATGGAAAACAATCGGTGAGGTAAATATATACCGAAAAATATCACTCATACATTTTTGCCTACTGACAAACATTTCAGTAGGTAGATAATTTCAAACTAATTTTTCTTTTAATTTAGGCACTTATACGTAGAGAACTGAATGATTACAAAATGGCTGAAATGGATGTCCATCAAGACAGTCGTCAATTCACAAGGTAATCAACTTCTTCTTCTTCTTTTATATTTCTGTAAATACAATTCAAAATTTGATTGATATTATAGCTTTATTTTTAGTTAAATAGAGGCCCGTGAGGCCTCCTCACTGATAGGAATCCGAGCGAAACATATTGGGGTCCATCGAAAGTTTCAGATCATTGAGAAGCAGTAGTGAATCTTCACTCGAAGTAGCAGTATGCTTGATCACCCTGCAACTGATGTCACCTGATAGAGAAATTATCGAAAAGAATATTCTTTTTTCAGTTACCAGTCTTTAGAAATTTAATAGTCTTCAAGTGTTGTTTCTCAAAGATTTGATTAATTTCAAGTATTGATCGAGAAGTGATGTCAGATAGAGAACCAATGGAAAAAAAAGAGAAAGAGTACTGAAGTTCCTGGATTCAGCACACAACGAGCATTCAGATTATAAAGCGTTCTGTTGAAGACAACAAAATCTAGGACGGAACAGATGTCGGATACTCTCTGATTTTCTAGTTGATGTGTCCATTCCAGACTCCTCATCATTAAGTACCCACTGGAGTTGGAATAAAGGACCACCTGATTAGAAGCAGAGCTCTCAAATTGAGATGTCAACTCATGATCAAACGTGTTTCCAATCACATCTGTAGCCAGGCTACTGATAATGTCTGGAAACATTTCTTTCCCACTCAAAGTTCCGCTTGTCCTACGCCAATTGTAATGCCTCCTGATATTTGCCAGTATGTTAGGTATCTAGAGGACTTTTGGTAGGTTATAAAGGATTCTACAAGGATTCTAGCTCTGTGGCCAGTTTGTACCAGGTGATCTAATGTCCGCTTGTTGAGGATATTTTTAACCATACCTTAATTGAGTTACACGAGTAAGTGTTCTTCAGCGTAAAAGACTGAGTTCTTTCACGCAAAGGCCCGATACCAAATAAAAAAATTCCCAAAAGCCCCTAGGTATCATGCTTGGCCTATTATAGGGCCTATAAATTCATAAGTTATATATTACTTTTTAAAAATTTATCCGATATTAAGTCAGTTTAGCGCTATATTCATGCATATTATCACTTAAAGATGGTTTCGAACTGTAATCTATCGATATTGTTGATTGTGTTATTCAAAAATATTACATGGAGGATTCCACCATGAGCTGATATAAGTTAGAGAACCTTTGGAAAACCTGGGAGTACTGGACAGCTGTTTCGTCCTAGTTTAGGACTCTTGATCACTACGCACCCACCGGGGTTTGAACCCAGGACCTTCGGGTTACAAGGCTAGCGAGCTCGCATACTATTGAGTCACTGGAACCCGATCCAATGGTCCTTGAATTCTAACTTCTGTCAATTCACAACATAGCGCGACCACTTCGCAATGTCTTCCTCTTCAATGAGTTACTGCCTCATCTTCAACCTGCTGTACCCTATTGGTCCAAGGCTTCCCACTAGAACCCCAGGTAACCACCTAGCTGAATAGGGCCAGTCACTAGTGAGCATCAGATTAATTTTCAAGTATTGGCTTTATGTAGGGATTTTGTTTGATTGCATGGAGGATTTTACCATGAACTGATATCAGGTCGAAGATGGGGTAGTAACTCATTGAAGAAGACATTGCGAAGTGGTTGCGCTATGTCGTGAATTTGCAGAAGTTAGAACTCAAGGACCATTGGATCGGGTCCCAGTGACTCAATAGTCTACGAGCTCGCCTTGTAACCAGAAGGTCCTGGGTTCGAACTCCCCTATGGTGGGCGCGTACTGATGAAGAGTCCCAAACTAGGGTGAAACAGATCTTCAGTACTCCCAGCTGGTTTTCCGATGGTTCTCTGACAGATATCAGCTCAAGGTGAAATCCTCCATGCAATCAAACAAAATCCCTACAAAACCAATACTTCAAAAATATTAATATTGTTATTAACAACCATCCTTTAACTATGACAGAAGTCTAATAACCGTAGCTACTAATGAAGTTATCGAAAAGGCGATAATAGTCTTTGCCCACATTAATTTTAACCCTTTTGAAACTTCTTATTATCTCATAGCATATTATGACACATAGTGATCAATCAGAACTTTTCACTTCAATTCCTTCATAGTAACTTTATAATAATAATGATAGATCCCTTTATCCAACAACTAGTATGCGTTCAAGGTTATTGGTGCACTCACATTCCTTGTCCTCATTCAAACTGATGTATTTTAGGGGGTATGCTTTATCATCGATTCATTCTCAATTCTTCTGGTTTGAATGTTTTATTGCCTAAGTAACCTGTGACTGGCCGCCTCAAGGTCATTAGTGTGCTCATTCACCTTAGGGTCAAACAATACAACGCATGAACAAGCCCACCAATATTTTGACTGCATGACTGACTGCTTTATTAAAATCAATATTTGACAAAGTTCAATAATAGCATCTGAGGAGTGCGCAGGCCCCAATGACCTTGAATGCATGCTATCCCTTGGCTAGAGGTATCTGTCATTATCATATCTGAAACACTAACGCTATTCACCAACTAAGGAGCAAATCTCACCCAGATCACGTTTTTAAGTAGTGTTCGGACGATATGTTCATACCTCGTTAGGGTTAATGTCATAATTAGGATTGTTGTGTTGTAATTAAGGTTAGGGTTAGTGTTAAGTTTAGGGTCAGGATTAAGGTTGGGGTTACGATTAGTGATAGATTTAGAGTTGATGTCATTTATTTTATATTATTTATTTTATATATCCACATTTCCCTGGTAAGTAGTCGTCGATCCTCTTACTGGAAACTCTAGTAATCCAACTGAGGGCTTTTGAGGAAGACTGCACAACAGGATAAGAGAGATACACGATTCACAAAAACAGCTCGTCTTCAGTCACCTCAGTGATTACATGTACATAAAAACTAGTCTCACTTAGCCACTGGTACTCCTCATTACAACTGGGACGTATTTTTAATTCATCTCAGAGATAGATACCCTGTTTTATGTGGTTCCATGCATTTTCTTGTAAATATACATCAGTTTTTTTTGTGCAAAAATTCTTCATTTTTATGATTGTTCGGCTCAATGTCCACTCATGTGTTCGCATCCTTTTGGACGCTATTGTTGAACTTTACCTAATATTTATCGTCTAGATATTGTATTTTAACTTCAAAAAATCGATAGCCATTTTAAATCGATTTTGTGACCTTGACTTTTAATTCATTAAAAAAAACAATGCATTCAGTGTATTCAATGTGTAAGCTAGACAGAATATTTCATTTCCCTTTTCTTTGTTTGTTTTTTAAATTGTTTAGATTTCATCCTCCATAAAATATTTACGCACAGATATCGTGGAGTAATAGTCGTAGTATTAGTAGTAGGCTGACTGAAGTACCAAATTACAAGCAAAAACGCACACATAAACCATTTCAATACCTGTCTACTTCTTCTTGTCTACTCTCCATCCCGTATGTATGACTCATTCAAGTCTGCAAGAGAGAGAGAGAGAGGAAAACACCAACACCACCAACAACAACCACTGCCGAATAAACTATGTAATTTATTATTTATCTTTCTGTGTTATAATATGTAAACTACAACTGTTTGAGTGAATGTATGAACTTAGCGAATGAATCTGTGCAATATATAATACACATATACACAAATAAATATATAAACAAAACCCAGTGAAACAACAACCAACCAACCAATCAATCAATCAATCAATCGGAGGTAGAGTGGAGGCGGGGGCTGGGAGGAGATTCCTAGCCCTGCAGCTTGTCTGTGATAAGCTACACGCACGCACGCACACACACACACGTCTAACTCCAGTCATTTTTTTTCGTTTCTTTTTTTTGTCTCTTTCTGAATTTCGAGATACTACTTGCTACTTTCTCTTTCAGCTTTTACATACACAAACATACATTCCCCTCTGTGTAATGTACATAAATTTGAATATATATACATATATAAATATTTATTTAACTGGTCTTGAGGTTATTATTGATCACACTCATGGTGAAAACATGACGACTTCCCGGGATCTGTGAGACTAGTACTATATATCACTGAAAAAATGGGCAAAGTTAAACTTTCGACACCACTAACAACTACCAATCAGCAAACAACCTTGAACGGACCAATCACATTAAAGAAGCATTTATGATAAATAGAAAAGTATATATTTATAGAAAAAAGCATAAAAAAAGGATAAAACGGTTACAAGGGGTATCTTTCTCAAACATGTGAGGGAAACATCCCCAGTTTAGCATAGGATTGTCAATGGAGAAGTCATACCACATTCTACACATGTATTCATCTAAATGTGACTATGAGATCCACTTATAACCTTTATTCTGTTTTTCAACCGGCTCCAAAAGTCTTCAGTAGAATTTGTATGAGTTCGCGTAACGGGATCTACAAAATCATTTGAATGTTTGACTCGATAATGAATATATCCCAGAGATGTCAGGGAATTGTAGCCTTTCGATTCGTCCGTGTGTACTATTGATTCACTTTTTACAAGTCTCGTAATAATAGATATTAAAGTAGTCGCCTTTCTGTCTGCTAATCTTTCGACGAATCCCTTTCGGAGGGAGGTGTCATACAAACCTATTACCTAAATGTTGTCGGCTCGCTGGCGACCACGGCTGTATTTCTTTTTCGCCAAAAGTGTTTCATCCACGTGCACGACGATGCCCTCTCCGCCCAACAATGAAGTAATTCTTTCCATTTTCCACGAAGCAATTATATTGCAATGCTGGTACCACTGAAATGTTGAGTCGAGGCTATTCTCCATTTTGGCAGCTCCTGCTCTCACCGGCTGTTTCAACACCCAGTAGTTGCAAATATACAAAATCTGGCTTAGGGAGAGATGCGACCTAGCGAAAAAAGTTCCTACGAAAATATTAAAATTATCAGCTTCCCCAGTCTAATGCTAGCATGCTTCAAACAATAAGTTCCCTCCTTCCGGAGCAACACTAAATCTACGCAATACTGGAAAACACTGTCCTCCTCGAATTGCAACCGTAACCTTGTAAGGGCACGCATTAGAAATGAATCAACCACTATACAACATTGAACTACGTTCGTGAATCTCATTGGATAATTCGACGTCGTTCGCTGATTGATAGTTAGTGGTGTCGAAAGTTTAACTTGGCCAAAATGATTTTGAGCCATATGACCAATAGTCTCCAGGCATCGGATCTTAGGATCCTGAGGACCTCAACAAGCTAGGCAGTCTACACCTTCTCCTAGGTGGTTGTTCAACTTATTGGATTTGTAGTAGGTGTCGATTTCATTACCTTATCCTATATATGTCAGTTAACACTGCTCAGTGAAAAAGGAGATATTTTGGCATGTGCTGCTCAAAAGGTATCTAGTCTCTTCAGGTTTTTCATCTTTGTTCACGATCTCATCAGTCGACTTCTCTTTCATACCTAACACGTGATGTCTACCCTACTATATCGCATAACACGCGAGATGGAATGCAGACACCTATGATCAGAGACAGCTAGCTGACCTTTTTCATGTCTTCCACTCTCAGTGACCATAAAGGAGAACACAGTGAACTGCTAAGCAGTAAACACATCCTTAAACCGATAGTCGGATATCACACCTACGCCAGTAGAAACATAAAATGTCACTGAACCTATTATGTCCGATCTGACATTTCGTCAGTAATTAGTCCATTGAATTTGAGATTTTCTCGTCGATTGATTGGACTGAAGTGCTCCTCGGTCTCAGGTTGACATGTCTGTCGGCTTCTTGTGCAGATGCTTCGACGATGTCTGAGCATTTAATTATCATTTAACTGATGGATGGTGACTAGCAGTGGAATCCAGGATAACGCGCACTTCGTTCTATTTGGGACTCGTCAGCCACTGGATGTACCTGCGTTTCTCAGGGAGTGATGATGTCCCCACTGAGGCTCGAACCCAGTGCCCAAAGTTTCAAACGCCAAAGCCTTATCCACTAGACCACTTGGGCCACGACAGCCACCTGTTGTGCGAAATGCGCGTTATCCTGGATTCCACTGCTAGTCACCATTCACCAACTAAATACGAATTAAATGCCCAGACATCGTCGAAGCATCCACACAAGAAGCCGACATGTCAACCTGAGATCAAGCACTTCGGTCCAATCAATCGACGGGAAAATCTCAAATTCATTTAAATTAATATGACCCGTAGCACAAGAGGTGGCCAGCTCTTGTGGCCCAAGTGGTCTAGTGGATATCGCTTTGGCGTTTGAAACTATGGGCACTAGGTTCGAGCCTCGGTGGGGACATCATCAATCCCTGAGAAACGCAGGTACATCCAGTGGCTGACGAGTCACAAATAGGACGAAATTCGCGTTAACCTGGATTCCAATGCTAGTCACTATCATCCACCAATTAAATTAGTCCATTAGATTTGATGTAGGTTCCCAAATAAGTGAAGTCGTCGACAGGGGCTCCTCCACCACACTTCACTTGCCTTCAAGCTAGCAGTCATTGAAGCCAAGTTCTGCCCAACTACACATTTGACAGCTGTTCCTACAAGCCCCGTTTAGCCGATACTTCGTCCGGTTTAAAGGATGGAAGATTGAGTACGTGTGTCTAACAACCCAACCCTGTACAAACACAACACTGTCACTAATGAAACCTCAAAGCCTGAGGCTTTAAGCCCGATGTTCCACTCAGGATGTAAGTGGAAAGAGAAGAGAGACACACTCCTTGTGTGTGTGTGTGTGTGTATTTGAAGGCTAATGATTGGCGAACAACAACGAACACGAATAATTGACAATAGGAATTCGCCTAATCTAATTTAACTAGTTAAGCAACAAAATAGAAGAAGATGTCAAACAAAGTCAGGATTGGATCAGGAAAGCAAGGCTGTGGAGTTCAATGTAGACATCTACAAATCTATTCGGCACAAAGAACAAGATCCGAATTTCGTTAACATTAATAATACAAAAAAGTTTAAGCAGCTTCTACATAGTTCAGATAGTGGATAGACGGAACACTTAAAGCCACTCCCAACAAGCTGTTACTACAAGTTTTCCACAACAGCCGCTGTCCCCCCTTCGCTCGATATCGAAGATTAGATGGTCGGAAAGCATAAATAACCCAACTCTAACAGCTGACTAATCGAGATTATTATTACATTCATTATTATTTCCCTATTGACTAATTGTTTATCTAAGTGATGTAATTGAAGCGTAATGCAATTTATCTTAATTTTGATCTCTCATACTCTCTCTCTCCCCTTATCTATTTGAACATGACCTGGAAAATATTCGCACCTGTCGTCTTTCTGCATGACCAATTCAATGTAGTTTGTTTACTTATCAGTCTTATATCTCCCAATGTAATTTCAAAAGTATATATATCCGTGTATGTAGAGTATTCAGCAGCTGAAGAGTTCTACCGAAATTTGATGAATTCATTAAATCCTGCTTTATTAACCTTTATTGCTTGTTTTAAATTAGGAATCGGGAAATAAATGTTTTCTATTATTATTTCCTTTAATTCCTAGAGGAACATAGGGCTTCAGCTGCACGTTTCCGCTGCGTTCAGTTCCCTGCTAAAGCTTTCATCTGGCTCCAGGTCTGCCCACATACTTTCATCTCCTCTTCACATGACCTCCTCCAAGTCACCCTTGGACGACCAACTCACCACTTCCCTTCCGAGTTCCACTCGAGGGCTTGTCTTCTGATGTCACTCAATGGTTTCCTCAGAGTATGGCCAATCTATCTGCATTTCTTCCTGCATATTTGTTGCACAATCGGTTCCTGGTTGATTCGCTTCCAGAGATACCTGCTGCTGAGCTTTTCCGGACCTTATTTTCCATGCCTAGTGCTGTCAACCTCCACACAAACTTGAGAGTAATGAAAGCTTGTCTTGCTTTCCCGATCCTTGCTTTGATATCCTCGTCAGTTCCGCCTGTTGTTGAAACGATGCTTCCCAGTTAGGTAAAGGAGGTTGCTTCCTGCGCCGCAACCACTCGAGAGCCCTCTCTCTCTCTCGGTGGACCAGACTAATTTAGAACATATTCCCTAAAAAACAATACATAAAGGGAAGTGGAGATGGGTAAAATATACTCGCTGAGAAGACATTGAAGCGACCCCATACCTCTGGACATCAAGTGGAATCCAAATGCGTATTGACAAGCTGGAAATTTGAGTTGATCATATGAATATAAGGTCATTTGAGCGAGAAATGAGATCACTGTGAACAATCGAGAAGCCAGTCGAAAGTGATGGAAGAGAATTGAATATACATTGGAGACGTTCTGATGAGACTCTTTGTGCCGTTTCCCAACCAGAAGAATGAATGAATAATAAAAAAGGCCTCTATCATGTGCACATGATGACTAGTTCGTTACCAAGATGGCTGGGTGGAATGGCTTAATACTTGAGCATGGGACAGTTGACTACAAAAAATGGCTAACGTCATAAGTTGCGTCGGTGATACACACCAGTTAAGACGCTCGCCGACCATGCACATGGTCCAGGTTTCGATCCCCGACCGACGCGCACTTGATATCAATGGTCGGGGCTTGCTAAATTTGGGCTACCGATATCACATCCTGCAAAATTCCATACTTCTACCAAAATCAAGCGATGAAATAATAATAATAACAATAAAACCATTTGTAAGAAACTATATTTGTAAAATCTCAGCGAGATTGAAATGAGTAATTCCAACGTTTCCAGTGTTCGGCAATCTAGTCCGAACTTCTTCAGGGAAATTAATCGAAATTAACATAACAGAGATTTATATATAAAAGGAAGGGGGGCATCTCTTGTTTTTAAAAACTTTGTCCAATCACACACACATACACACTCTGTTCAAAGTGTTTAACAAAGGTAGACTAATATTTGTAAGCTAAAATAGAGCTACGAATAGATCTTGTTTGTCTCTTGTAGCCCACCTTGTAGACAGTGAGCATAAAGTTGACGTTAATACTGTATTTAAAATTTAAAACTGTTTATCGCATTCCTACTAATCTTAATTTTGCTTTACGAGTTCGTCTTCTACATACAGCTGAAGCAATAGGAATCCACCTGAAGAAGAAGCCAAACTTGTGTGTGTTCAGAAGAAATTTGTACAGCCAGTTTCCTTACCTTGGCCATCTTTATATGATTGTATAAACCGGACTACTTCACCCCCCTCCCCGTAAAAATTTTTTTAAATTTTAAAAACTATAATTGTCCAAATTATTTCATTATATTTCTGACTACTTCATCTTGAATTACGTGTTATCCTTGTAAAAATTATTTTATTCTTACGACCACTTCAACTTTAGTTACAAATTATCATTGTCCAAATTGTTTTATATTCTTAAACAATTTGTTACGTAGTCAACCTGTGCACACGCTTATTCCTTATTCCTTGCTCTTCATTTTTCCAAAATTATGCATTATGCAATCCACTTGTTGTAACCATTTCCACCTTTTACTTATGTACATTGATTTTCTTCGTTAATAGTCACCCCATTGACATTTTGACACTGACTGATTATTGTTAACAAACAGACATATCAGTGCCACTTGATTGGTAAATTGTTGTATATTGTAATTAAAATGCTATATACATATATTAGAGTAGAGCCAGAGATGAGGATCTAATTGAAAAGTAAATATTTCTTCGCTCAATCTTTCTCCTTTCTAAATGTCTAAATGGGGATATTTTTTTATACTGAAATATAACTTTTTACAAATGTCTACTTCTCACTCAGCGCCCAAATATTTTAGAACTATTCTGTCAAATCTTCACGACAGTTCATTTGAACAATAAAACCAGTTAATTCGCCTCTTCGTTTAACACAAAAAGCCACTAAGAAACACATCAACCCCGAAGATTGTACATCTTGATCTATCTTGCAGCTCTCCGTAACCGATAGTAAGATGTTCAACAGATACAACTCCAAAAACTAACCAACTCAAATAGATCATATCTATTGTGACCGTAGTATCAAACAGTTCCACTCCCAGCCCCCCTCCCCTCGGCGCCTAAGTCCTACAGTCAAGGAACACTAATCAATACTCCAAGAAGGAATCTACACCCACTAAGTGCGTGTGTGGAAGGGGGACAATGGAGAATTAATAGCAGCCTGTCTACCCGCGTGCACACACACACCGAACCACTCCCATAATCACACAAAAGTTAACATGAACCAACCCAAAAACGTCTTTTTAGAAAACAAAAACAACCAAAAGAGACACAATGTGCACCAAAATTCATATATGTATTTTTTTCAATAGAAACACAAGACAGAGAGAGATAAAGAACGCAAGATCAAAGCGAAATTCAACCTTTTTGAAAAATATAGTAGAGAGGAAAAAAAGCATGTTTTGAACTAATGTCACACAGACACGTCTACACACACACAAACAAACACACACACAGACAGGAACTTACGTAACCTTGTTTGAGTGACGAATTGAATTGACTATTATTGTTGTCACCTGCATAGACAAAGGTTTCCTATAGACATGCTAGTCGAAGTTGTATCGGTCTTCTTCTTGGCTGTATGCACACAGGCAAAATGTGTGTGTGTGCAAAATGTCATCTTGCTGATATATTCTCTCAACAATATGCATAAAAACAGTGGGGGAGGAGCATTAACCCCCAAACAACAGTGGAGGAGATCGCCATATCATGCCGATTATCATTAATGCGATAATCAATATTGATGTAGATACCTACATTTACAAACACCAACTCACACACATGCAAACATCAAACAACTAAGAGTGAAAACGGTGAACAACTACTTAATTCAAAAGAAAATAATATATATAAACTTTGAAGATCCCCTGAATTACAGATAAACAGAATGTCAACAGCATTTTGAAACAGATTCCCAAAACAATCAACAACAACAACAAGAAAGAAAATAATGGAGGCGATAGGCGAGGAGGTTCAGAACAGGGAGAAATGAAGAAGGTATATTTATATGTTTTTTGACAGAGGTAACTAACATGGGTTTTTAACAATGGTAAATATGGGGAGAAAGGGGGGGTTGTTAAGAGTGTACATGTGTGTGTGTGTGGATGTATACATATGGAATGTTAAAACCTACTCACTCATCGCACACACACACACACATACATACACACAGACAGCCACACTCTACTCAATATTTATTTATATACGTACGGGATGATGTTGCGTAATAAAAAAACGCTACAGTGAGTAATGAATGAGTAGTGCTCAGAGGATAATAAAGTGTGTCAAAAATTAGAAACTATCCCGCAGACATTCATGAACACTTGTGTATACAAGGAGGGTGGTCAAAGAGAGTGACAGAGTGCGAGAGAGACACATTTAGGCGACGCGGATAGTAGAAACTCTCACTAAGTGATTATATTACACATATCTAGCATGACTAGCAGTATACACATTTCATACTTTTCCGTCTTCTTCGGCTTCAGAGAAAAAATTTCAATGTCTACAACATCATAACATATTAAATACACACATTAGGGTAGACAAGTGTTTATGTCATTTTTGGCATGTGGAACTTTATTTCTGTGTGTGTGTGTGTGTGTGAGTAAGTGTGTACACATACATATCTGACAGAAAGAGGGAATAGATTACAATAATTCGAAGGGTTGGAGAGGTGGATGGGGGAGGCTGGGGAGTGGTTGGTTGGTTGGTTGAGGAGAATAATAATAACAATAAACAATATTAGTGATAAAACACAATATTTGAGAATAATTTATTGATTAATTAGAAAAAAATTATGTGTAATATTTATATACTACTAATAATATTTCATAGCTGTTGTTGAATTGTTGAATTTCAACAGAAATAACCAAACAAAACAAAACAAATGAACGTTTGATGTGTTGGCTTATATTTTTACTTGGCGTAGTATACATTAACATTATATTGTAGTGCATGTGCGTATTTTGTTCATCTGTAAATAGAAAGAGGAAAAAACACAGAAAGAAAATGAAAAAAAAACAGAAAAATATTAATTTCCTTTCATGCATATATTTACAAAATAAAATTAAGTCATCATCACAGTAAAATTGACAGCCAATACGTATAAAGAGTCAGAATAAATAAAACAAAAAAGGCTTTAAGCTTATTGGTTAATGCATCAATCAGTTAAGTCATTTCGTTTAGGCCGAAATTTGATTAGTCAGTAATTCAAGCCACCCACGTAGACTTAAATTCAACCAATGAAATTTAAGAATTTATATGTATACAGGCATTAAACGTAATAAAGTTGATGAATCGTTATTGGGGCGAGTCAATCTTCTCTACTGAATTTATTTGTCCTTTATTCTAGGGTTTTTCACGTCAAAAGACGCTATTCAAAGGCAAATCAATCATATTATGAGAAATTGAGCGATGGTAGGATATGGCCTAAATACTTCTAGTTTGAATGAGCGCTGCTTGAAAAAAGAAGAATTCTTAATGCAATATAGGCTGCATAGAGCAGAAATAAAATCATTAAAATTCAGTTCTGCACATTTAAATTTGAGTCCTGAAGCATAGATATATGACTACATGAAGTAACAAACTTACTGTTACAGAACAAAATGAATGAAAGTCATGCTTCACACTTACTAAGATTATTCAATGATCCACACGCCAATATTGAGTTCACTATGGAACATGAGAGTGATGGAAAGTTTCACTTCCTCAACATCGTCATGGAATGCCTAGAAGACCGTAGTCTTCAAAAGTCAATTAATCGAAAGCCCACATAGAAAGAACAATACTTGCATTTTAATAGCTTTTGTCCGAATAGCTTTAAATGTGGTCTACGCAAGACTCTGTACTATAGAGCAAGGATAATATGCTCTATAGACAAATTAGAGGAAGAATTTAAGTCTCTTGAAAAGATATTGAAGAGAAATGGATACCCTCAAAGGTTCATTAACAAGTATGCATGATCTGAAGTCATAAATGTAAAACAAATCACCGTGGGGAAAAAACCAGTCTACATTCAGCTTGATTATAAAGGTGAAAACATTGCAGCGATGATCAACAGAAGGATGAGTACATCACTAGACAGAGCCTATCCTGCAGCTAAGCTCGTTCCCGTCTATTGAACAACTTACTCTCTGGTGCAATCGAAAATCGACAGATATCCTTCTCATGTTAACTCCAACTGTATATACAAATTTACATGTATCTGCCGGAGCAGTTACATTGGAAGGACAGAAAGAAGAAGGACATATCTACGATTTTCTGAACATGTACCAAAAAGCTTACGTCTAAAGGGAACAATTGTTTTAAACAGTGTCATCGCCAGGCATCTCCTTCACACGGGTCGGTCATGAGGTGGACGTCGAAAAGTCGTTCAAAATTATCAACAGGCAAAAGAGCTCAATTCTCCTTAAGTTTGCTGAGGCCATTTCCATCAAGCGCCTGAAACCTGAGTTATGCGTCCAGAAAGAAGCGGTTATCAATCTTTCTTTGCCCTGGTAACTGGATATTTTCACCTCTCTTTCTTCCGAATGCGAAATGCTAAAAGTTTCCACTGTGTATGATTATTATTGTTCGGAATAGTGTTGAATATTGCATATATATATAGCGTATGCGTATACTGATCGATTGATTTTTGTTTAAAATGAACTCTGTGCAAGTATGTTAAAATTGTTTTTGTAGATATATTTAATAATGTCTTCGCCATGTAAGCAGCTGACGAGGAGGCAACGAAATAAAACATGGTACCATTTTACTCTGCTAAAACTGTAGTTCTTGCTTTGTTCAAATTCATTAATGGGAATAAATGTATGAAAAAAATATATATATATATATATCAGGTTACACAACGGATTGATACCAGTGTGAGAATCACTGAAAACCGGGAATTACTGAACAGCAGTCTCATCCTATTTGGAGACTCATCGGCAGTACGCACTCACTGCCAGGATTCGAATCCAAGACCTTTCAGTTACACGGCAGGCTCGTAGACCATTCAGCCAGTGGAACCCCATTTAATGACCAGACTAACCATTCGAACTTCTTTCTTGGCGCGACCATCAACCGATGTCATCATCAGTGCGAACGCCATCCGCACTCCCGAATGCATGAACCTCACCACTGGTCACGAATTCTCACTACAGGCAACTTTGCCCTGTAGCCAGTAAAGTAAGTCAGTAGCGAGTATCAGATTAATTTTCAACAATCGGCAGTCGCACTAAAATCGCGAATTTGTAGAAGTTAGAAATCATGGGATGATGATCAGGGAATCGGGTTCCACTGGCTGAATGATATACGAGCTAGCTTGCCTTGTAACTGATACGTCCTGGATTCGAACGACTAGGTGGAAGCGTGTTGCTGATGATTCTCAAACTAGGAAAAAGCAGCTGGCTGTCCAGTACTCCCTGGTTTTCAATATATATATTCATTAATCTGCTCTTATGTAGGGATTCTATTAGTGGGACCACGGATCGATATCAGTAAGAGAATTATTGAAAACCAGGGAGTACTTGACAGCTAGCTGCTTCGCCGATGGTATATGTGTGATTTTAAAACAAGCAATAAAGATTAATAAAGCAGGATTTAATGAGTTCATCAAATTTCGGTAGAACTCTTCAGCTGCTGAATACTCTACATACACGGATATATATACTTTTGAAATTACATTGGGAGATATAAGACGACTGATAAGTAAACGAACTACATTGAATTAGTCATGCAGAAAGACGACAGGTACGAATATTTTCCAGGTCATGTTCAAATAGATAAGGGGAGAGAGAGAGAGAGTATGAGAGATCAAAATTAAGATAAATTGCATTACGCTTCAATTACATCACTTAGATAAACAACAATTGGTCATTAGGGAATATAACGAGAATTGCAAACAGACTAATATCAATAGTAACAGTTATAATAACAATAATAATAATAATGTTGAAGTGAGTTAAGATAATCTTGCTGATGAAGCATAGTTTTAAATGAATCAAGAATAATAATAATGATAATAATAATAACAATAATAGTAAGAAGAAGAGGTAGAATACTAGTAATAACAAGTAGAGATTAATAAGTAAAACGTATTACCATGGTAGATTCAGAGTGACGACCATCTCCTTTTGTATACAGAGAGCTGGTTTATAAATTCGAATTGTACACGAATTGCAAGCATCTTCTTGTTTCTTTGTTTGGTGACAATGGTGAATGACTTGACCGCGTCTCCCAATGTAATTTCAAAAGTATATATATCCGTGTATGTAGAGTATTCAGCAGCTGAAGAGTTCTACCGAAATTTGATGAATCCATCATTAAATCATCCTGCTTTATTAACCTTTATTGCTTGTTTTAAATTCGTATCGGGAAATAAATGTTTTCAATATGTGTGATTTCCCACAAACTGGGGTGACTCGATGTTCCACGTCCTCAATGTCCAACTGCGAAAAAATACTGATAACTCACACTTAGAAAATGGGAAAATTCTGAATTGAATTTAATAATTAACAAAATCCATCGCACAGCTCTTGTAGCACAAGTGGTCTATGTGGGTAACGTTTTGGCATTACAAACTATGGGCACTGGGTTCGAGCCTCGGTGGGAACATCATCATTTACTGGGGAATGCAGGTACATCTAGAGGACGAATACCAAAAAAGCCGAAATGCGCATTATCCTGGATTCCACCTGTTAGTCATCATTCACTAATTGATTTGATGAATTTTCTGTCTTGCCTTTCCTATTCTGGATGACTTTGACATCCTTATACCGTGCCGACGGCCTGTAGTTAAAACAATGCTGTGTAGATCAATTTCTTCTATCGCTAGTGATTGGTTCTTATTGTTATTGTTGTTTGGTTATGTATATGTATATAGATGGTGATGCGGGGGTGGCTTGAAATGCGCTATCCAATCAAATTTCAGCCCAAATAACGACCTGAATGACTCATTGACCAATAAGCTTAAAGCCTGTTCTAATCTGATTACTCTTTTTTGCTGTGTTATATATACACACCACTTATCACTGTTACTATTAATAATAGAATCCGAATTAGTATTGTTACGTAATTTATTATTATATTATTATTGTATCCTTTAGTTCCTAGAGGAACATAGGGCTTCAGCTGCGCACCTCCATTGACTTCGGTTTTCTGACAACTTTTTCACCCTGCTCCAGGTCTGTCCACATGCTTTCATCTCCTCCTCGCATGACCTCCTCCAAGTCACCCTTGGACGACCAACTCGCCGCCTCCCTTTCGGGTTCCACTCGAGGGCTTGTCTAGTGATGTCACTTGATGGTTTCCTCAGCGTATGGCCAATCCATCTCCATTTCTTTCTGCCTATTTGTTTCACAATCGGTTCCTGATTGGTTCGCTCCCAGAGATCCCTGTTGCTGATCTTTTCTGGCCATCTGATCTTGAGTATTGAGCGGAGACAGTTGTTAATGAAGGTTTGAAGTTTGTTTGAGATGCTCTTTATGACTCGCCAAGTCTCTGATCCGTATAGTAGCACTGACTTCACATTGGAGTTGAAAATCCGGATCTTATTTTTGATGCTGATTGCTGTTGACCTCCACACAGATTTGAGAGTAATGAAAGCTTGTCTTGCTTTTCCGATTCTGGCTTTGATGTCCTCGTCAGTTCCGCCTGTAGTTGAGACGATGCTTCCCAGGTAGGTGAAGGAGGTTGTTTCTTTCAGGTTCTTCCCATTTATGCTTATTGTGGTCTGTTGTTGTTGTTGATGTTGGCTAGGAATCTTCATCATCTCTGTTTTATCTATGTTCACGTGAAGTCCTATCTTTGATGCTTCTTCTGCCAACTTGTTACTTTTCACTTGCATATCTTCCAGTTTATGGGAAATCAGACATATATCATCGGCGAAATCCAGATCCTCCAAGTCTTTTGTGTCAGTCCATTTTATGCCTGTTCCCTCGTTGGTTGCCGTTGTCTGTCGCATTATCCAATCAATTGCAATCAGGAAGATCATTG